ACCAACCGAGTCCACAGTAGCCTGTCGCGGAAGTACCGAAGGCTGCTGAGGGGACTGTGAGGAGGACTGCGGGGAGGGAGCCGCTACCTGACGCGCGACCGAGGGTAGAGGGGTAGCGTGAGACACACCTGACGGGGCAGGACCAGGGGGGGGTGGGGGTACCGGAGGAGCGGGAGCAGGGGGAAGAGAGGGTGCGAGGAAAAGGGGGGGAAGGGGAACCGGGAGACCTCGACAGGGGTACTGGGTGTAGTAGGACACTGACTCGTCGAACCGGACGTCACGGGAGTCTAGGAACTGGTGGAGGGGCGGGTGGTAAAAGGACCAGTCGGCCGAGGCTACCGGGAAACCAAGGAAGACACAGGGGACGGCGCGAGCCGAGAGCTTGTCCGCAGAGGTGTCGCGGACAAGCGCAAGGCAGCCCCAGACACGAAAAGCTGACCCAACACCAGGGGACCCGGTCCAAAGACTGGTCGGTGAAGCCTCTGGCCGCGAGACGCGCGGCTGGAGGTTCAGCTGGTGAGCGGCGTAGCGAACCACGTAGGGCCACAGAATATGGGGCGCACGGGCATGAATCATGGACGTGCGGGCGATGTCCATGACCAAGCCAATGCGGCGCTCAGCAACCCCATTCTGCTGTGGGGACTCTGGCAGCGTCCAGGACTGTACGATGCCCTGCTCGCCGCAGAATCCGGCAAGAATGCCTGAGCAAAACTCACCCCCACGGTCAGAGTGGAGACAGGAGACACGACGGCCACGAGTGCCCTCAGTGGCTAGAAGCCACCGGATCAGCGTAGAAGTCACCTCGGACTTCTTCGCGAGAGGAAACACCGTGGTGTACCTGGAGAAGTCGTCGACGACCACCAGAAAGTAGCGCTCCCTCTCAGGTCCCTGCGTAGGTGCAGGGCCCCAGACATCCAAGTGGAGTGTCTGGAAGGGAGCAGTGGCCGGACGAAGGGAGGAGGAGTGCGGAGTGGCACGAAGACGGCCGGCGACGCAAGGAGTGCACGGCGGCGCAGGCGAGGGAGGGAGCGACGGGAAGACGCGAGGGAGACCTGAGACAAGACGGTGACTAGCCATAGTGCGGAGGCGGGGGATCGACGCGTGGCCAAGACGGTGGTGCCACAAGACGGTCCGGTGGGTGAAAGACCAACACGAGCAAGACGCAGCAACTAGACCGGACACAGCAACCTGACCTGACACAACAACCTGACCGGACACAGCAACCGGTGGGGACGCAGTAACCTGACCGGACTCTGCTACCGGGGGGGACGAAGCAACCTGACCAGACGCAGCTACCTGCGGGGGCGGAGTGTGCAGGACGAAGAGACCTGAGTGGGGCTCTCTGGTGAACGTGGTAAGAACTGCCCCGGTGGAAGAGTCCGTACAGATCGCAGTCCTCCCGTGCGCAGGAAAAGTGACTGTGGTCCCCCGGTCCTGAAGGTATCCAACACCCACCAAGTTCCGAGAGAACGAGGGGATGTAGAGACCAGTGAGGAAACCAGAGGGGACAGCTGGGCACGGGAGGGTGGTCGAGCTGCGAGCAACTGCTGGTCCTGAAGTAGGATCAGCCAGGGCAACTGGGACTGGAGCCGAAAGAGGTGTGACAGTGGTGTGGTCACGGAAGAAGCACTGAGACGCGCCGGAGTCCAGCGTGAAGGAGAGCGACGCAACAGCAGTCGTCACGGCCGGGCTAGTGAATACACAAGCACCTACACTAAAAGCACAAGTACCGACACTAGCAACAGGCAAAGGTCCTAAGCTAGGTACACGTAAGCCAAGAGATCCGTACGTGAGAGAATAAACAACATCCATAGACATATCAAACACAGGGTAACCACTACGAAACAGACCGGGCCAGATCGGGGGAGCCGACTCAGGCCCAAAACGCTCACGGTAAAGGTCGTCGAGGCGGCTGTAGCAGCGCTGTGCAGAGTGGTCAGGACGCCAGCAGGTAGTGCCAGCACCAGGGCCGGTCAGGATCCGGTACTGGCAGGGGCCGACGTCGCGGCCACTGCGACGAGCCCCCCAGCTGGCTGGGCCGCTGCTGCAGCCAACGCGACCTGAACCACCAGGCCCCCACGGCTGCTGAGGGCGCCATAGCTGCTGAGGGCGCCCCTGCTGCTGCGGAAGCCACTGCTGAAACGGCCGCTGCTGCTGTCCCTGCTGCTGGAGAACCCTAGTGGACTCCATGATAAAAGCTAGCGGGGTGCAGGAGCGGCAGGCTAGGAGCGACAGGTGAAACTAGGCGAGGAACGGCTGGAGCACGGAGCAAACTGAGCTACGAGCGAGGAGCGAGAACGGCTGGAGCGAGAACGGCTGGAGCACAACTGGCTGGAGCTAGAAACGGCGAGCTAGGGCTGGCTGGAGGTAGGAACGGCCGGAGCTAGAGACCGTAAGTGCGGCTGTCGGCTGCCGCTAGTAGAGCCACTGGCAGTGGAACGTACGTGCGACAGTAGGGGCTGCAGTACTGACGGCTGCGGGATGCAGGCAACTGTGCAGGTCGTCCGACAAGCAGGAACGCGGCCGACAGTTGCAGGCCCCCACCCGAAACCCCCCCTTTTTTTTTTTTGGTTTAATTTTTAATTTATTTATTTTCTGGCGCTAAAGCGCTCCGGGGCGCGCTGCCTGCAGGGTGTGCTGCCTGCGGGGCGCGCTACCCGCGGGGCGCGCTACCCGCGCGGCGCGCTGCCTGCGGGGCTGGGGCGACGGGCCAGGGCGCGGGCTGGGGCAACGGGCTAGGGCGCGGGCTGGGGCGACGGGCCAGGGCGCGGGCTGGGGCGACGGGCTAAGGCGGGCGCCTGGGCGACGGGCTAGGGCGGGCGCCTGGGCGACGGGCTAGGGCGCGGGCCTGGGCGACGGGCTAGGGCGGGCGCCTGGGCGACGGGCTAGGGCGGGCGCCTGGGCGACGGGCTAGGGCGCGGGCCTGGGCGACGGGCTAGGGCGGGCGCCTGGGCGACGGGCTGGGGCGGGCGCCTGGGCGACGGGCTGGGGCGAGCGCCTGGGCGACGGGCTGGGGCGAGCGCCTGGGCGACGGGCTGGGGCGGGCGCCTGGGCGACGGGCTGGTGCGGGCGCCTGGGCGACGGGCTAGGGCGGGCGCCTGGGCGACGGGCTAGGGCGGGCGCCTGGGCGACGGGCTAGGGCGGGCGCCTGGGCGACGGGCTAGGGCGGGCGCCTGGGCGTCGGGCTAGGGCGGGCGCCTGGGCGTCGGGCTAGGGCGGGCGCCTGGGCGACGGGCTAGGGGCGCAGGCTAGGGGCGCTGAGGGCTCTAACGCGCGGAGGAGGAGGGCGCTAAGGCGCGGAGATGGCGCGGAGGGCGCGGAGGGCGCGGAGGCTAAGGCGCGGAGGGCGCGGAGGGGCGCGGAGGGCGCGGAGGGCGCGGAGGGCGCGGAGGGCGCAAGGGTGCGGAGGGCGCTAGGGCGCGAGCTAGGCTAGGCTAGGCGAGAGGATCGACACCTACTCATGATACCATCTCAAAGTTAGCGAACAACGGAATGTGTGAACTAGGGAAACAAGGGATACAAATAGCAACCCTAAACGTGTTGTACTCCCTATAGTGCTACTCACTGTAGCCTAAGAACCTATAATAACATTTGACAAGGGCCCACCACCACTAGTGGTAGTCGTGTGCGAACCTTCCTGAGGTGATCCTGAGTTCGATCGACTTCTGATCGCAACACAAAGAACCGTTTAGAAGATACCCCCTCGCTATACAATTGCCCCTAACCCCTACACTGGCTCAACTCGTACACACAAATAGGTGTCTTATAATGAGGCTCGCCTGTTTATAAGAGACACCCGGATAATAGACAACCCCTGTCTACTATTCAACACTGTCTTCTATCCGGGCGATGACGGTACTATTCCTATTAGCTGTCGAAGCATGTCTATAGTGATCATCTGCGAAAAGTCGGTTTATCTCAAGTCACCTGTCACACGAAGTGTCTATAGGCGACTCATTTTTATTTATAACATTAGGACGCGTTGAAAGTGCAAATATCGCGGGATCGCGAGCATAAATCGAGCCCCACAATCGAGTGGGCAGATCGATTGGCGAAACATGAAGACCGATATGTTGTAACGATCGCACCTGAGCTTTGTGGTGGATGTTCCAGGGCCGAGATTACTGCCCTGCCTGCGACTCGCACCCAAAACACATACGTCGTCCATACCCACCTGCGACACTTGCAGCCAACAGGGCAACCATCCTGGCGATGTGATGTTTACAGATTTCGCCAAATGTGGACAATTTGGGCGACAGCGATTCCTGGCTCTGCGAAATTTCAGAAAGTCGCAGGCATCAGAATCAATTGCGCCAGGTAGGCTCGGTTCGAGAGCATCAATGACGCTTTGATGCCACTCACTGATCTCCCGCGATCAGTGATCAGTCGCATTCACACACTGTGCACAATTTTTGGCCAAAAACCGTACTGTAGCAAGGTTACAGCACAGTAAATAGGGTTACAGATCCGCACATCGTTCGCCACCCACGATCGATCGTCTACTTTCAACGCGTCCTTAGCCGTTGTAAGGTAAAGCTGTGACGAAACCTCGAAACCAATTCCAGCCTCAACACACTCCCTCGAGTCACAACACAACCTTCCAAATGCGTTGTCACCTCGCGCTCACCATGAATCAGCATGGCCGCATTCGCCAGAGAGCCCTAGCATGCAAGGTACTCAAGCTTAGTACCTTGCATTACAGTCTGCATGGTAATCGTTAGACTGTATAACGATTCTGCAGCGGCTGGGAAATGTTAGATCGAGGTTCTAGGATGCTCAGCTGACCATGGGAATACTGTAATACCTACCATTCGTTCCAAGCAATTACTAGTGGCGATGGGTCCAAACTGCGTTGCTGCTGACGTGGACTTTCATGCACGCGTCGATGTGAGAAATTAAATGTCGCATCCACCCTGAACCGACCACATTCGTTCGCGTAGTTTCCCATGCGAGCCCATTGCATTCGTCATCAAGTTCACTGTAAATGCCTTCCGAACCGCATGAGTTATAGATTTTCTGTTCCCGTGCTGAATCAATGTCCTGGAGGCGGTTCTCCTCAGACCTCACCACTAGGCCTGAGATTGGTCATCATCTCTTTTTCCGAGGTTCAGCGGACATCCTACTTCCGAAGTAGAGCGGGTGAGTTTCAGGAGCCTCTTGAGTCACTCGTCTGTGAACCTAGGGACTCTTCAGGAGAGAGGTTAGTTGAGAAACATAACCCAACCAGCAGAAATTCGTCGAATCTCGTCTTCCTTTTCTGTTCTCACGCCATCGTGCGACCTCTGGTTCTACTCTTTTTTTCTTTTAGTCTCGTCCTAACGCTGTGCGAGCCATGTCTTCTTGTGAAAGAGACCGATCGTCGTTAACCCTATCATCGCTGTGCCTTAATAATTCCGAGTCGTCGTCGCCGTTCGATCGTTTATCAGATGACCTCCTCTGCATCATCTTCCGCCTGCTAGGCCATTTGTCCCCTGGCATCTTGAACCACGTCATGGTCTGCAAGCGATGGTGTCACCTCGCTTATCACACCCAAACGTCCATCTCCATGCGCTCCAGTAGGGCTCACGCGATTCATGCAGACACTGACCTGCTGAAATGCTTGTCAAAGTTCACGAATCTGGCTTCTCTGAGATTAAACAGTTGCTATTTCGATGGCGAGTGCAAGTTCCTCTTAGGCCTCGGATTCGCATGTCCCTCGTTGACTCTTCTTGACCTCAGAAGCGAGCGGGATGCCGATTTGACTTGGGATGGTTTGCATGCAGTCTTTACTGCTTGCACTGGGTTACAGCATCTCTCAATCGCCTTTCATGCTTCTCCCACAACTCTCCCACCATCCTTCTTCGGACTCTCTTCCCTAAGGGAGGTCTATTTGCAAGCCGACCTCAGGAGCCTTCCTGACGAATTCGGCAAACTGGGGTGCTTGAAGAAGCTCACGTTCGACGACCTTCTGTTCAGCGAACTCCCAGTATCGTTTGGCCTTCTCGCCGCGCTGACCGAGCTGCACGTAATACGCTGCAGCGAGCTCCACCACTTGCCCGAGTCCTTCGGAGGCCTTTGCTCGCTGGTCAAGCTCGTCGTGTCTTCTGCAAGCCAGCTGGAGGAGCTTCTCGACAGCATTGGCCGCCTTCAGAACCTTCAAGAGTGCTCCTTGAAGGACAACTCCTCCCTTTCGCGGCTTCCAGATTCGTTCGACCTGCTTACTTCGCTACGTGTCCTTACCATCAGACGTTGCTCTGCGTTCTTGAGTCTTTCAGAAATCATGGAGCGCCTCTCATCTTTGCAGCATTTAGAGTTGTGCCAACTCCGCAGCCTCACTATGCTTCCATCTTCCATCTCCAGGCTCCCCAAACTTCAAACGTTATCCTTCAATCACTGCAACAGCGTCTCCAGAGTGCCGCTAATCCTGCTCCACTACTGGAAGACGAGCCTCACGACTCTTGACTTCGAATGGCCAACCAGCTCCCCGGCTGGGGAAGCGGGAAATGAGACATATTTCATTGACGCCTTCATGTGGTCCGTCTGCAGGCTTAAGAACCTTTCAACGCTCCGCCTGATTGGCCTTCCCCGCCTGACTTCATTCCCGGACAAAGCATACAAACTGAAACGGCTGCAGCGGCTGACGATGTGTTCCTGCCCCGACCTGCGATCCTTGCACAGCATCTATTTGCATGTCACCAGCCTCACAACCCTGGAGATTACGGCGTGCCCAGCCTTTGAGGACGAGGCACACGAGATCTCCCACATGCTATCTCTGGAGAGCGGATGCATCAACGGTAGACCGCTGGGGAGAGGAAGGACTGGAGGAGCTGACGGGTGAACGTGGGAAGTCGGACAGCACTTACTCAGTGATGTGGTGAGGCGGGATGGAGGTGGGTGTAGTGAGGTCGTATGGAGGTGGGTGCATGCAGTGAGGTTGGATGGAGGTGGGTGCAGTGAGGATTGCTGGGGTGGTATGGGACAGGGTGTGTTGATGCAGGGGTAGTTTCTCATTTTGTTGCTGAGTGTGATGTGTTGGTGCGGGTTGAAGTCTCACACAACTCTTTATGCCTCTCCCCCTTACCCGGCCCATTGTATCATGCGTCTTGCATCATCACTGCTGGTCCGAGTCTAGTGTGGCATGGCAGGTGCGGTACAAGGGAGACATGGGAATGGCATGGGAAGGAGCATGCTTAGAATGTAACAGGAATTTTCTGATCTAGTGAACTCTCATGTGCTGAGTTTGGTGGTGCTTGGCTGGGCGGGCTTGTGTGCTGAGGCTCTGAGAATCCAACTTCTGATGACATGGAAGAAGGAGATGCCGGTGTTAGCCTGCCACCTTGGTTATCTTACGCTGTACATATGCTTTTGTTGGTGAGGCTTTGGATATGTTTCTGCAACTCATGCTATAATCTATAATCTCATTTTGTTGCTAAGTGTGATGTGTTGGTGCGGGTTGAAGTCTCACACAACTCTTTATGCCTCTCCCCCTTACCCGGCCCATTGTATCGTGCGTCTTGCATCATCAGTGCTGGTCCGAGTCTAGTGTGGCATGGCAGGTGCGGCACAAGGGAGACATGGGAATGGCATGGGAATGGCATGGGAAGAGGCATGATTGTGGAATGTAACTGCAATTTTCTGGTCTAATGAACTTTCATGTGCTGAATTAGTTGGTGCTTGGCTGCGCGGGCTTGTGTGCCGAGGCTCCAAAATTCCAACTCTTGGGAACATGGAAGACGGAGATGCTGGTGTCATGTTAGCCTGCCACCTTGGTTACCAAACTTTGATCGTTGTACATATGCTTCTGCCACTTTGGAAGACGAAGATGCTGGTGTCATGTGTGTCTGTTGATGAGGCTTTGGATATGTTCTGCAAATCATCCTAAAATTTAGTGGTTACATTTTGGTTGGATACCTCTACCCGTTTCAGCAGTTACAGCCATCCCATAGTTACTTCTTCCTGAACAGTTATCAATGGCCACTACTTCATTCAGATTGAGGTTGTACGGACTCCTCCTTGCTCCAACCAGTTCAGGCTGTATCTAAATGCATTGGTAAGTACCACAGGCAAATCAAGTTGCTAGCATGCTCAAACACATTCTTGTTCACTTGACAATGTCTGGATTGAGTTGAAAGCTGCCCTCACGGGCCAGTTGGCACTTGCCAGCCCAGACAGGCTGGTTGCTGGACCATACCATGCTCTCACCTTGTGTCAGTGCTCCTGTGTCACTAAATGCCATGCTCTCACCTTGTGTCAGTGCTCCTGTGTCACTAAATGCCATGCCCTCACCTTGTGTCAGTGCTCCTGTGTCACTAAATGCCATGCTCTCACCTTGTGTCAGTGCTCCTGTGTCACTAAATGCCATGCTCTCACCTTGTGTCAGTGCTCCTGTGTCACTAAATGCGATGCTCTCACCTTGTGTCAGTGCTCCTGTGTCACTAAATGCCATGCTCTCACCTTGTGTCAGTGCTCCTGTGTCACTAAATGCCATGCTCTCGCCTGGTGTCAGTGCTCATGTGTCACTAAATGTCATGCTTTCACCTTGTTCCAATGCTCCTGTGTCACTAAATGCCATGCTTTCACCTTGTTCCAGTGCTCCTGCGTCATTAAACGCCATGCTCTCACCTTCTGAGAATACATTTGTGTCACGGTAGCGGGAGAGTGAATTCAGGGAGTAGCATGAATGTTAGGCATGCTGCTCACTTGAGTGCATTGAAGCTTACCACCAGGCCCTCAGATTGGTTGTCGACAGAGCTTTAGTTTATCGATCAGCGGTGGTACAGAAAAGAACACTGATACTCAATGTACCAAACTGAACAACCAGCGTCAGATCCTTTTTCTGGCTGAATTGTTTGAACTGACCAGAAATGTTCGTCAGTTTATGTCAGGAAGAAAACAAACCAGTATGGGCATGGGGAAGGGGCAACGAGAGAGCGGGGATGAGGTTGGGAGTGAGTTCTAGATTCAGCGTACACCTCCATTGCGGACTGATAAACTAGTGTATAGCTGGAAGAATGGCTGGAGAACCATTGAGGGTTAAGCAAATAAGCATGATAGTCACATGATCATACCGTATTGTCATTCAGGCAGCTTTCTGTACCCTGCTCCGCTCTTCTGCGCTCTTTTTCCATCCCCCCTGGCAGGATGTCAAGGGAGAGGTGGGAGGAATGGTGGATGGAGAGGAAGGTGTGGGACGGGTGCCGACTTAGTCTTAGTATTCATGCCCTTTCATGTACAGTATATTATAAGCATGTCCTTTCATGCCCTGGTACGAATGAACGAGTTAAGAGGAACTATCAGAATATGAACTGATTCTGCATCACAATTGGATAAGCCTTTTTTTTTAGGAAGCATGAGATTAAACAACATGGTGAGATTGACAAGATGAAGAGAATTCAATTGTCAATTGGCATGTCGGTGATGCATGCATCATTTTCCACTTGTCATACTTCCCCTGTCTTACATTGGTCTTGCACTTGGCATGTCTGTGATGCAAGCATTCAGGCATGAATGTTCCACCCATCCTCCTGCCTGCATTGTTAAGTGCATCCCATCACATGCTTCAAATGATTTTCTTTGCTCGTGCCTCATCCATTCACTCACTCTGAGGCACCCCATGCCATAAAAGCAGCACCCTAATCTGCTGGTGCCCAAGCTTCTCCCTTCTCATGTGTGCATGATATGCCTCTTTACGCATGATCCGACATCCGTTGATCCCATATCCATTGGTTGATCTTATATCCATTGATCCCACATCCATTGATATCACATCCATTGATCCCATATCTATTGATCCCATATCTTTTGATCCCATGTCCATTGTCCCAATATTCTATCTTGTGATTCTATGCTCACAATCCCATTTTCATGATCTCGTTTTCTTGGCACCCTTTTCATTCTCTTTTTGTGATCCCAATCTTGGGATCTCATTTTCATGATCTGATCCGCTTCTCAGTATCCCATTCATCCCGTTCTCATCATCCCATTCCCATGTTCCCATTCTCACAATAAAAAAATCATTATCTACTTTTTAAGGCTCTCGTTCATACGATCCCATTTTCATGATCCAATTTCCATGTTGATGTTTCCATAATATAAGTTTCCCATGATCGCATTCCAGTGATCCCCTTTCCCATCCTCATGGTTCAATTCCTACAACCTCATGCACATGATTCCGTTTTAATTATTCCGGTCTCGTGATCCGATTCGCATAATCTGATTCTCATTGTAACCCCTTCGTGTTTTGTCACATACCATGATCCCATTCCCATCACCCCATTCTCATTATGTCATTCAATCATCTTACTAACTCATTTTTATGATCCCATTATCATGTTCATGTTTTACCATTCTCGCGTTCCTGTTTTTTTTCTCCATTCTCATGGTCCCTTGAGGTGATCTGATCTTGTATTGGCCCAAGATCATGCGTACAATTATCATTATCCCACTCTCATTTTCTATTTTCACTCTCCTGATCCCATAGGACCATTTTCCTGGTCCCATCTCCTTGATTGCTATCCAACTATCACATTCCCGCGATCTCATTCTCATAAGCCCATACCCATGTTCCCTTTCACATGATCCTCTTCTCTTGATCTCTTTATTGTGACCCCATTTCAGGAATCTCAAGTTCTAGCACCCTGATCTCCTCATCCAATCGTTTCATAGCATACCCATACTTCCATTCATATGATCCCATTCTCATTATTCTATTCCTGTTATGCCTTTCTCGTTACTACATTCTCATAATCCCATCTTCGGAGTCCCATTCTTGAAAAATTCCTGTGATCCCATTCTTATAGGCCCATGATCATGCCCTGCAATGCCAGTCAGTCATACCAGCCATGCCTGCAATGCCAGTCAGTCATACCAGCCATGCCTGCAATGCCAGTCAGTCATACCAGCCATGCCTGCAATGCCAGTCAGTCATACCAGCCATGCCCGCAATGCCAGTCAGTCATACCAGCCATGCCTGCAATGCCAGTCAGTCATACCAGCCATGCCTGCAATGCCAGTCAGTCATACCAGCCATGCCTGCAATGCCAGTCAGTCATACCAGCCATGCCTGCAATGCCAGTCAGTCATACCAGCCATGCCTGCAATGCCAGTCAGTCATACCAGCCATGCCTGCAATGCCAGTCAGTCATACCAGCCATGCCTGCAATGCCAGTCATTCTGGAGTAGAATGCCCTGGTCATGATTAAAGAATCGGAGCAGTATATGCTGTAGAATTGGAAGAGATGCATTCAAGATTCCACAGTTGAAGTCAGAGCGAGGTGGCTGCCGCATGATGCTTGAGGCACGTTATGCCAAGGGCAACATCTCGATTCCGGTCTGAGTGCAGTGTGCAGACAGGCATGATCAAACTGCAAGCAGGCCATATACATTCGGTTACATGTATGGTGCTGGGTGATGCCGTGTGACTTGAGGAGCGGTGACATGGAAGAAGCGACAGGCTGCGTTGCGGTCAGAGTAAGTGACTAATGGGATGGTGGACAGGTGACGGGCGAGTCTGGAGCAGCCTGTGCATGAGAGAGTAGAGCGAGGAAAAGGCGATGGAAGAAGTACCTGCTATGGCAAGGTGACAATGGGCGATTTGAACTTGGCTGGAGAAGTGACAACAAGAAAAGCTAACACGAGAAATGGCAATGGAAATTTGACTGGAAAATGGCCATGAGAAATGGATTGAGATTTGGCGATGGGAAGTTGACTGGAAACGGCAGTAAAAAGCTGACTAGTCACAAAGGACATGTGAAACTGATAGGAAAAGCGGCATTGGGAAGTTGAGAGGGAAAATACAGCATGAAAAGGCTAAACAAGGGTGAATGGACAAATGGGAATAGCCACGGGTAGTTGGATGTGAAATTGTAAATGAGAAAGAGGAAATTGGAGAACTTAGCTTCTTTGGGCAGTTGGCAGGGCATGTACACATGAGATGCAGATGGAAGAAGGGAATACAGAACCAATTAGAAGAATGAGAAAACCATGTAACTGGCAAACGAAATGAAAGGTGCCTTGAAAAATGAGAGCAGAATTGAGTGGGGAATGGCAATCAGAAGGTGATAAGAAGCGAAATCACAAAGAAATTCAGGCTGGAGAAACAATAATGAGAAGCTGACCGGCAACAAATACGCTTGGAAGATAACTGGAGACTGGCAATGGGAAGTCGAAAGCGCGAAGATAACATGGCAAATTGAAAAGATGAATGACAATGGAAAAAAAGTACACTGCAGAATGGCAATTTGTCTGTCAGCTTCATGACGTTCCCCACTCTCACCCTGTTGAAACCCTCCATCCTCCCTCCCGTACCTTTCAGCCACTCCACCCTTGTTCCACTGGGAACACGGCTATGGAAAAAAGGCACATGGGACCATGACAGGGAAAATATGAATGGAAATTTGCAATGAAAGGGCGAGCTTGGCAGTGGAAAATGACTGTGGGGGAATACAATAGGGCGACAGTAAGTAGGAAGAACAAGCCTAGGAAACTAAAAACGGTAACACCAAGATGGAGTAATAAGAACATGAACATGACAAGATGGGTCCTTCATGACAAACAGAAGATAGTAAGAATCAAGGTGGCTGTTGAAGAATGACAATGGGAAGGTGCCATCGTGAGAGGATGAGATGCAAAGCTTGGGAAGAAGAGAGAGGGAAAATGACACCACAAAAAGGGGTAATGAGAAAACAACCAAATTCAAGCAGCTCAATGCTCCTCCCTTCCTGCTCAATCATCCCTCCCTCTCTCCCATCATTTCAATCCAAGCACTCTTTCCTTCCTCCAACAACAACTAACTCCGTTCTCGCAAAGTAATTAAGGCAAGATGGCTTGCGGTGTATGACAGGGAAAATAAACATGTTATGGGACAAAAATGGGATGACGGGCACGGAAAGATGGCTGTGGGAACATGAGCATGAGAAGATAGTACAGGGAGGATGTTAATGAGCTCATGGCAAGAAGAACAAGGCAACAATGGCAGGTGACGTTGTGAACCCGAAAATGAAAAGGTGATCAATAGTGAGCTCTACGGCACAACATTAAACAGGAAAACGGTATGAATAACAAGCGCCAAAGGGGTTCCAACCTCCTCTCCTCCCCTTTCCACTCCTGCCTTCCTAGCGAACCTCAGAGACAAACAGAGAAACAAGCAAGGGGATAGGAGAGAGCGAGAAACAAAATCTGTGGTGCTTTTTGTGAATTCTCAAAAGAAGCTATCAAAATGGGCGGAAATACTGGAAACGACAATGGCAAGTGGGAAGAGTAAGTAAACAATGGAATACTTCGCATGGAAAAGTGACAACAACGGATGGAATGGGTTGGTTGGACCAGTGGAAGTATGGATGAGGGGATGAGACTCGGAAAAATGGCACATGGGAAGATGTGGAAGAACTGGCAGTGGCAAGATGGCACATGATGCGAGCAGGAAAAAACAAGAAAAACCCAATAAGAAAGACCCAACAATTAGTTCACACCTCCCCACACACCCCTCATGCACGCTTCCCTTCCCCCAACGTTACCTTGCACGGTACATAGAAGTGAAAGAGCATGTGAATTACAATATAACTTATTACAGAAAGAACCTAAACTAGAATAATATTTCTAAGCTGTACCTAAGGTTCCTGTGCAGCAGATCCATCACCATTCTGAGCCTTGAGCCTCCCCACAAACCACTCTCCAGCTGACCACATTCCTCCACCTCTCCTGCCATCTCTCCCACAACACCCTGCAAGCAGGGTGCAAAAAGGGGTAAGTCCCGCCATGCGCCTGCCACCAGCCCCCACCAGCCATGCTCATCCCACCAGCCCCCACCAGCCATGCTCATCCCACCAGCCATGCTCATCCCACCAGCCATGCTCATCCCACCCGCACCACGCCTCCCTGCACATGCCATCAGAATGCCTCTGGATCTGCTGCTACCTGCTACTGCTACTACTGCTACTGTATTCCTGCTGCTGCTTCACCGTTCACTGCTTCCCTTGGGTGCTGCAGGGCGTGGCTTGGGAATGCCACTGGCTGTTGTGGTGCGTGGCTTGGGAATGCGAGTGCCTGTCACTGCTGCTGCTTGAGAAGCCGTGTGCGCTGCCCTGCTCTGCCCAGGCTGAGGGATGCCACTCGCACCACCGCCACCACGCCCTGAACCCGACCCCACACCTGCTGCTCGCCCTCCTGCTGCCTCCACCCCTCCCAACGTCGCCTTTCCTGCTGCAGCTGCACACACCGCCACGCCTGCTGACCTCCCATTGCCCTGATCCCTCACCTTCTCTGCTGCCGCTTTTGTTGCCACCGACCCCGCTGGACTGCACTTAACAGCAACGCTCTTAGCAGCTGCTGGCGTCACACGTGTGGCCTTGGCTGGCGATCCATTAGCTGCTGCAGCTGCAGGCTTCACAGCAGCCTTGACTGGTGCAGCTGCAGGTGCACGAGTTCCCTTCACTGGCGTTCCCTTGGCTGCTGAAACAGCGGCTTTAACAGGAACATTCTTCACAGCAATGTTCTTCACAGAAACGGCCTTCACAGCACGGCTGCTGACAGCAACACTCTTCACAACGGCGTTGGTGACAGCAGCGGCCTTCACAACAGCGGTGGTGGCAGCAGCGCGTGCACCCATGACGTGCGTGGGCGTGGGCGTGTTGCTGCGCGGCTGACTCACGGGCTTGGTGGGTCGCAGCGGGGAGAAACCTAGCGACGCACGGGGGGAGCGCGCAGTGCTCTGCTCGTCCTCGTTCAACCGCCCCACGCGCACCGCAACGGCGTGCAGCCTCTGCTGCTGCCTCTTGCTCATGCACGCCAGTGCACTGCTGCCATGCTTCGACCTGCTTCGGTCGCTGCCGTTACTGCTGCTGCCGCTGCTGTTGCTAATGATACTGCTGCTCTCATCGCTGTTGCCGCTGATGATGCTGCTGCCGTTGGTGTGGCTGCTGGCGCTGGTCAGAGTGCTGCTGGCAGCAGGTGCAGCTCCGAGCGTCAGAGTCACAACAGGCTCGCAGAAACGAATCCCAGGGACGTACAGCCACGTCTGCTCCTCCTCGCTGTAATCCTTCCAGAAAGCATGATCGATGGATGTATCTGCAGGCGTCGGGAAGTCCAGTGGCCCAGAGAGCCACGTGCAGTCTTCCTCGGAGAAATCCTTCCAAAACTCATGATCGATGGCCAATGACGTCAGCGGCGCATACAGCCACGTGCAATCGGCCGTGCTGAAGTCTTTCCAGAACTCATGGTCGATTGAACGGCTTGTATACTGGAAAGCGGAGGCGGTAAGTGAGGCCATCGTACGAGCGGGAGGCTAAGCAACGAGGAAAATACAAGCCTCGAGAGGCGGAAGTTGATAAAACAGTGTCAGAAGGAAGCTACGACTCGAACAGGTGTTGTGGTTTGAATGGATATGACGAGTACCTTTGTAGTGCTGGAAAGCAGCTCCAAGGCGAAAGGGTGGATGGAGCAGTCGCATACGCTGGGTAGGCGAGGGGAACCAATTGCTGCCCGCATTAGAAATTCTATTCATTCCGTAAAGCGCGTGCTCTGGTTTGTGGTTCGTGCCGAACCTACGGAGAGGTCGGGCAGCCAATAGCATGCTACCCGATTTCCTTGCTCCAAGCGCGACCTCAGCTTTGCTCGTCGCTGAATGCTAAACCGAGGGCCCAGCCCTAGTCCTCGAACCAGCACGGCTCTGGGCAGCGAAATTTCAGCGTTTTTTGCTGCCCAAACTCATGGCCAGTCTCCCTTCCGTCAAGCTCGCCGCTGCTGAACCGGCGATTCGTCTGCGGAAAAAAAACGCTTGCTCTCGGTTGACTGAATGTGGGCTCCTATGGGTGTAGTCTCTGATCGAAACTACGCTCGAGGTTGCCATGGCTTGTGTTTCAATCCGTCAACGTCAACGAACGGGAAGAACAAACTGCCTAGCAACAATCAGCGGACGCGAATACGACGGAGGCCGATCGGATCGCACTACGGCGTGGCGCGTATTTATCGGAAGATCTCTGTGTTCGCACGGAAATCGGACGGTCCTCAGCAGCTCAGGAGATTTCGAAGTACTGAGGAACTAGTCTCGAGGAACTAGGGTTACTCTCCCAAAACGCTTGTCCAGCCAGGTCCCAAGGTTGGGATGAGAATGAAATAAACGAATGCTTCTATGTGCCTATCCGTTATATGACATAGAGAACTATGCATTCTCTGTGCAATTTATAATCTTTAAGTTAGAAAATGTAAAGCATTTTGACCTCCAAGCTGAATCCAGTTTACCATGTCAGCCTCCTAGAACGCATTAATCAAACATATTTCATTTCACAAGATTGCAGCTCTCAAGAGAAATGACGATTGACGAACATGGTTTAATGAACCAAATGAATGCATCTTATAAAACACATGAACAAAACAAGTTCGTCGTACACATTAATCTCCCGTGTAAACCACCCCAAGTTCCCTTACCCTTCCCTACTTCCCTTGCATGCTGCTCTCCCCCACCCAAACTCCTTTCTACCTTGCCAAAGGGAGATGCCTCTCGTTCGATGAGACACACAATGCCGTGACACACTTCGGCTGACATGCAACGGCTGACAAACACGCATTGCCTGGCTCGCACACACACACCCACCTATGCTCGCAGAAATGACGGACGGGTGGGGGCGAGTCGGTGCGGCCCATGCATGGGGAGGCGGTGCAAGGCAAGGGAAATGACAGAGGAGTAATCCAAGGGATGTGAAGCTGACAGGGCACAAGGCACGATGGGTCATCAAGTGGGGATATACCAAGCAGCAATGGGAAGCTGGTTGGACAAAAGGAAACATGAGGAATTAACAACTCTATTGGGAATGAAAAGTTTATTGAAAAATGGCAATCGAAAGTTGTTGCTAAAGGGCAGTGGGAAGCTGGTGAATAATGGTAGTGGGAAGTTGAATGGGAAACGGGAATGGATGAGAGGATGACGATCGGTGAGAGGATGGCTGGTAGGAAGTTTTTTTGAGAAATGGTGGCTGGACAGATGACGCCAGTATGAGAAGACTCAGCGAAATGGCAGGTGACTGGAAAGCTTCACTGGGGAAACGGAAGACAAAAATTGAACAAGAAAACGACAATGCGACACGACACTGATTGCAACGGCAAGCCATTTCAGTGACCAGGCCACCACCACTGCCATGTGTACCCAGGCATGCTCACACTTGGAGCAGGTTTATGCTTTTGGGTTCACGTGGTGAAGAATTTCGTGGTGCGTGATGCTGGTTGGCTAGCAGGCATGGCAGGCATGCAAGGGACTGGCACTCCTATGATGTGGTACCACGTGACCGTGGGGATGGCAGGCATAGCAGGCATGGGAATCGCAATGGGGAGATGTCGGGAGAAATGAAAGTGGGAATGTGAGTTGAAACATGTCAATGGGAAGTTGGTAGAGACAAATAACAGTTAGAAGTTGACTGGGAATGGCATTCAGAGAAGTCACAGCGAATGAGAAGTCACAGCGAATGAGAAGTCACAGCGAATGAGAAGGTGAATAGGGAATTTCAAGTGCTAACTTGACTGGGAAAACGCCATGGGCAACAGGTGATGCCGGAAAGCTCACAATGGAACATGACCCGGGCGTCTATCATGCCATGTGTGCATGGCAGGCATGGCAGGCAAGCACGGCAGGAAGGGATATGACGCAGACAAAAGCACGGCCCGGAGGGGAGGAGAGGTGGCTGCAGGGATGATGGACGGGTGGATGGGATGGGGGAGCATGTGGTGCCACCCGGCCCGCCCATCCTCTCATGCACGAAGAGGCAGCGCATGAGGAGAGGAGCACGTGGCCAATGAAGCAATTGGCTGGGAACATGGCAATGGGAGGCTGGCTGAACATTTGACAATGAGGGAGGTTCACAAGGAAAAAGGCAATGAGAAGCTGACTTCAACAGGGCTGCGGGAAGCCGAATGAAAATGGGGAAGTCGCTGGAAAAGTGGCAACTGGAAGTTGGCTTGACAAATGGCAGCATAAGACGGCTCAGAAATTGGCAATGAAGGGTGGCATGCTGCTGGGAAGATGAATGTGAATTTGTGAGGGAATGGAAAAGAAGGCGTTGGGAAGTTGACTGGAAAATGGTTTTGAGAAGCTGGCGGTAGGACAGCTGGCATGAATGAGAAGGGAACTGGAGAAGACATGAGAGTGAAACGGGAAGCGATGGCAGAAATTGACTGAAAGCAATGGCAGTGTCATGAGACGACTCACAGCAAGATGACAAGATTGAGAAGTGAGACACAAGATTTACTGGGAAAACAGCAGTGACAATAGGGATTGAACATGCAATATGACAACGGAATAGGTTAGGCAAGTGGGAATGGGAAGCCAACAGGAAAAAAACAAGTCTTACAAAGTTGAAGGCAGGAATATGACAATGAGAATTTGCAAGCGTACAGATAACAATGGGAAAAAGGTGGGGAAGACATATGCGGGATGAGGTTGGGAGGCAAGAAAAACGTCTGTAACTTGCACCGACATTCCCCAACCCCCTTGCCCTGCTTGGATCCCCCATCCTCCCTCCCCCCAACCTTCCAGGCTCTCCACCCTTGCTGGAGAGGGAAGATGGCCGTGGAAGAATGGCATATGAGAGCATGACAATGGGACCACAACAAATGACTTAGCGACAATGGAACCGCAACTTTAGGCAGTGGGGATGCAAGAGAGGGGAACTGACTACGGGGGAATCAGAATGGGAGGAAGATAACTAAGGGAAGAACAAATCGCTATGACAAAATGGGTTCATCATGAGGAAATGACCATTTGAAAAGGGCAGATGGCAATGAGAACATGGCAGTGCGATCATGACATGGCAGTGCGATCATGACATGGCAGTGCGATCATGACATGGCAGTGCGATCATGACATGGCAGTGCGATCATTACATGGCAGTGCGATCATTACATGGCAGTGCGATCAGGACATGGGTTCACGTGAATGAGGAAATGCGTGTGGAACATGATTTTGGGATTGTATTGTGACCATGAGATGAGAGCATGCTGAGAGAAGACAAGCAGGAATATGCGAGCGAGGGGAGAAAGGCAGCAGGGATGTGAAAACGCGAAGATGATACCAAGAGGACAATAAAAAGAACATCATTGCAAAGGTGAGGGAGGGAAAAGGGCATTATAGGAAGGACAGAAGCGTTGACCCAAAAGGGCTCCATACCGGCGATCCTCCACACCACACTCGCCTCCTCCTGCTTCGGTCCTCCCTCCCTCTCCCTCCCCGACCATTCACTCACTCATCCCTTTGCTCGATGGTAACATGGCATGGTGGGTAGAAAAACAGAAGGAAATTGGTGATGGGATGATTGGACGAGATTGGAATGATGACAATGGGAAGATGGCTGCGGATAATGAAAACCACGAAGGGAAAAGAGACGAAGAATGAGATAAGAGAGCGGAAAAATGACCTATTTAAATGGGTTAGCGGGGTGGTGAAAGTAAGAGCCTCACAGTAGTAACATGACACTGGGAGATCGCTGTAGACAAACGAGGATGGGAGGAATGGCGATGGGAGCAATGGCGATGGGAATATGAGGACAGGAACATTAGAATGTGAACACGATAGCAGCACATGACAATGTGAGCAGCCAGGCAGTGGGAATGTGATTGCGAGTAGAGACTGCAATGCAACGATCACCATGGAAGCTATGCTGTTGTTTAAAGAGGAGGTTGAGAGGAATGAAAGTGCAAAGTGGAATTCGACTCTAAACAAGAAGAACGGCACTGGTATGTGGGCTGGCAGGGAAAGTGGGCTGGCAGGGAATGTGGGCTGGCAGGGAATGTGGGCTGGCAGGGAATGTGGGCTGGCAGGGAATGTGGGCTGGCAGGGAATGTGGGCTGGCAGGGAATGTGGGCTGGCAGGGAATGGGAAGTGGGCTGGCAGGGGAAGTGGGCTGGCAGGGGAAGTGGGCTGGCAGGGGAAGTGGGCTGGCAGGGGAAGTGGGCTGGCAGGGGAAGTGGGCTGGCAGGGGAAGTGGGCTGGCAGGGGAAGTGGGCTGGCAGGGGAAGTGGGCTGGCAGGGGAAGTGGGCTGGCAGGGGAAGTGGGCTGGCAGGGGAAGTGGGCTGGCAGGGGAAGTGGGCTGGCAGGGGAAGTGGGCTGGCAGGGGAAGTGGGCTGGCAGGGGAAGTGGGCTGGCAGGGGAAGTGGGCTGGCAGGGGAAGTGGGCTGGCAGGGGAAGTGGGCTGGCAGGGGAAGTGGGCTGGCAGGGGAAGTGGGAAAGGGAGTTGAGTGGAATGGCAACCCACAGCACAGCAGCCCATCCATCCATCCCGCACCACATGCCATGCCACCCGCCTGTTTCCCAACCCCTTCCCCATTCGCCACAGCCTCTCGTATAAGGAAGTCGCCTCTCATCTCTCGAGCCCTCCTCCTCTTTGCCACTCCAACCCAACCTTTCACGGTCTACATGCCTCTTGCTCCACCCACCACCCTCACTGCCTCCCACACTCGCATCGCACCTCCCACACTCGCACCTCCCACACTCGCACCTCCCACACTCGCACCTCCCACACTCGCACCTCCCACACTCGCACCTCCCACACTCGCACCTCCCACACTCGCACCTCCCACACTCGCACCTCCCACACTCGCTTGCTCGAGTCAACGGCGGTCAACGCCACTCCCATACAATCCACTGCCGCCACTGCCCTGCTCTCACCACCACCACATGGCCCCATTGTGGGCGGGTGGGGAGGTGGGGACTGTCGCCCGCCCCGGCGCGCTATCACTGGCGAACCGGGGTGGCGGGGGGAAGGGGGGCGGAGTGGTGTGGTGGGGGAGTGGCAGCGCGGGGGGTGGCTACAAGGGGCAGTCAACACAGTAAGGGACGAGGCGGTGTGAGTGGGGAGGTGGGACTGTTGTCAGCCACGGCGCGTTATCACTGCACAGCGGGTCAGGGGGTACGTGCACACGGGGAGCACGTTCGGTTGCAGCAAGCCAGTATGAGGAAAACTCGAACGTCCCAATGCACTCTCACCCATCCCCTCTTCCCTTCCTTGCCTCCCCCTTCACCTCCCCCTTTGCTTTCCACCTCACCTGCCCGTTCGCCTTCCCAATTTCCTTCCCCCTTTCCTGGGGAACGTCGCCACATGTCTATCGAGGGCGCCTGCAACGGGAGGGCCTCCGCGTCGCGCCGCCATCGCAGGTCCGCCCTCAACCTCATCCGCCGCGCAAACACGCGTTGCTAGCGGCGTCAAGCGGAGGCGGACAGGGGAAGCGGCGCGCAACCGTCGGAAAGCATCCGCGCGCCATAAGGAGAGCGCGGGGCGGTGCCGACGAGCCAGGGGCGTAGGGACGCGACGAAACGGATCGCGAAGAAACGGATTGCGACGACGCGAGCAAAACGACATGAAAAGGAAATTTGTTGTTCTTCGTGATCTCTCGACGCGGATGGTGTGCAACCGCCGCTTCGTCGGGTGCACGAAACGGCTCGCGAAGCGAAGCGTCTTCCATCGCGCGAACACCTTCCCCGCTAGCGCTACGCTGGCTCTCCTAATTCTCTGCGCCGGGTGACTAGAGAGTGAGTGGTCTTGGAATTTAGTATGGATGCTGTATCAACACAGGTCACAGATGTTGATTGATTCTTTGTTGTCTGGAAAACGAGTCTGATTCAAAGCAGGTAATATTTTTAGCAATTTCATCCTCGACATCGCTCGACAATTTTGATACCTCGCTGCACAGTTTGTATGGACCAACGAAAGTGTGATTTGACTGCAAGCAAAACACTCTCTAGTTGTACTGTAACTCCCATCTGAGGGGTCGTTCCAGGCGTGTTCACAATTCTTTGGAACGCTTGAATGTTACCGTATTTAGATCCCGATTTCAATTCTCAGAACACTTGTGGGTTTGAAACTTGTAACCCGACCGAATGGGACGTTGGGAGCGGTACACATGATACCTGATTGAGCCCCTCCCGGTTGCCTTGTGAAGGGGGCGTATAAGCTGTATCTGCATTTCGCATAAGTTTCGTCAATTCGCAGCTAGCTAAAAAGGATTCGCAGGTGCTTATAAAAGGATATGTAACCTTATCTGTTGACATTTTGACTTCAGTCTCTTCATTTTGACTTCGGTCTGTTCGTTACAATTGGTTCCTAACTCCGCGACGCGCTTGTACCGTGGGTGCAACAGGCTGGGGAAAAAATCTCGGGTGCAGCGTTTCCATCCGGTGCAGAACAAATTCGCGTGCATGGGGTGGGCATCACCTGTACCCCCTTGTTCAATGCTGCCATGTCAGTGTTCCGATGAGTGCCCCTTTATGCAGCGAGGAACAGGGGAAACGGTGGGCGGGGAAGGGGAAAACAGGGCACGCAGGGGAGAAACAGACGAAGATCACACATTCGGATTTGTTGTGTTGTCACTCCGTCACTCACGCACGACGCCTCCCATTCCAGTGAAGCATAGATGGAGTCAGGTCCAGAAAGGACGTCTGAAGGCGGTTACATGAGGCCTGATCGGTCCGATCCAGAGCGTTCTAATATAGAATGGTCGAGTAGTAGGTTGATTTGCGAAATCACGAACCTCTGGGACCCGCCCTGAGGCAGTCAACCTAAAGGCGGCGAATAGTTTCCAGAGTCGCACAGATAGTCATTCCAGAGTCGCACCTCGCCTTTTCCTGTCCAATACCCGCGGCAGATAATCAATACCGTGACATCATGGAGCGCGCATCATCTCTCTCCGTCCTCCTGCTCTGTTGTAAGCCTCTGCTGAAAGCCGGCGCGTGGTGATCTATCCCCAATACCCTCGCATTTGTGGCATCTCAGATTCTCAGATATAAATTTCACAGAACCCTGGCTTGTGCCGCGGCAGAACCTCGTGGGTCTTATCAGTGTCAAGCGTCGCAAGCCACGTGACGCTCCTCATGCTCACTCGTGTCGTGCCTGTCCGCCAGGTGTGGTGGCCTTCACTGCCGTCGGCGCCACGTCCGCCACATCACTCGTCGGCCCACTGCTCCCACGAGATGATCGCCCCCAATATGGCGCCGCTTCATCCGCGTCTGCCGCAGCTCACGCCAGGCCTCTAGCCTGGAAAGGGAAGACCATCGGTAAGTGCATGCAGCTGTCATGCCGCCGCGCTGCGACTGCTCGGTAGTACGGCTACTGTTGCTCGGTAGTACGGCTACTGCTGCTCGGTATTACGGCTACTGCTGCTCAGTACTGCTACTACTACTGCTATTTAGCAACAGAAGGTGCACACAAGCTGAAACGTGTAGTTGCCAGGTGGTACAAAGTATGCATAGTAGCAGCCATCACAAGGGTCTTTCATCATGATGAGTCGCTTCCTTAAGCCATGCTGCTAGTAGTACTACTACTTCCTCAACTCTTCCGCTGCCCGGATCCCTGCCATGTCATGCCCATGCCCCATGCCATGCCCATGCCCCATGCCATGCCCATGCCCCATGCCATGCCCATGCCCCTTGCCATGCCCATTGCCCCATGTCATGCCCATTGCCCCATGCCATGCCCATCGCCCTGCAGAGAAGTACGTGGCCGTCCTGCGGCCCACGAAGCTCAACGGAAAGGTGGTGGGCGACAAAGGCGCATCCGCCAAAGTGGTCCTCAAGGTCGTCAGGTACGCATCCTCCTCATTCGCCGCGAGGTACTTTCTCGTGCCAATCATGATCTACTCAATCACTCTCGACCCGGGCTGGGCTCTTCATGATCAGCGCGAGTCCCATGTGCACCTCTCCGGTGGTGTCCCACATACAACCCCCATTCTTGCCCATTACCTCTCGCCATGCCCTCTTGGCAGGTACTCCGCAATTGCATACTATCAAGAGGTTGTTTTTGAGGTCTTGAACATCAACTCTGGCGGAAAGGCTCCTCTAGTGAGCGAGACCGTGGCGTCCTGCACCACCGATTCAGTAGTCGGGCTGCTACCTTTCACGAACATCACGAGTGACAAGGCCGGTCGCCGCAAGCGCTACAGCTTCTATGCGGAGGTCGCCAACGGGCCAGTGAGTAAGACGGCGATTCGTTTTCAAATGGATAGTCTACTGGCGCGCGGTCGATTTCTGAGGGCGTGGCATGATAGTAACCTGCTGGCTCTCTGCGGGAAGTTGAAGAAGCAGCAGTTACCGCCATTTTGAGTGGCTCGCTTTTGAGTCAGACTGGAAAGTCAGCTCGTTATAATTGGATCACTCACTGTGTAGTTTCACTCACTGTGTGAATTCCTGGGTCTCACGTTTTTTGGATATCTGAGCTTTACCATAGCAATTTTGCTGTTACGGTACATTCCTAGTTGGCTATGTGTAGAAACCACAAAGACTGAGTGGGTTTCACACAAGGATAGTAGAACATTCACCTCACCACACTGCTGATACAGTAACTCAATAGAAATGTTCCAGTAGGGCCCAAAATTGGTTTTGGCCCACCCTGACAAATCAGGGTTCCAGGCCCCCAGTACTCTGACCCTTAGGGTAAAATTTTTCGTACCCTGCTGGAAACAGCCTAAATACTTCCATACACTGATTTAGCCCAATGTACTTCTGCAGTTAGACTGTTTGCACAACGGGATATGACTCAGCTGGTTAGATGTTTGGCTAGGTGTTTTAAAGCCCGGGTACAGCATGGTATTTTTCAAGTTCAAGATTCTTGAACTTGAAGTCGCAAAAAACAGGGTAACCCTCTTTGGTCTGAAACACAACTCGCGACCGAGGGAAAACCTCGGGCGACTCTCACTCCTGATTGGTTTCAAGGCACAGTCGCACATGAGATCCGACCATCGCCCACAATATTGCCGTGATCACCCCTCACATATCTTGAAGACCAAGTAGTACCTCTAGTCCGCTAGGCCACTTACCTAACTAGGAAACGCGCGGCAGGGCGATACAAGCTAGCTCAGGTAGTTGCGTTTTTTTCCGGCCAACACTAGTCGCTCACACTGTCTGGCCAATAGCGTAAAAGCACAACTTCATGCCAAACACTCGCTTACCGTATCACTTTCGCATGCCATACACTTTACGTCCGTAGTAGCGCGCGCCACGCGCCATGCTCGTAAATGGCATGAGTTGCCACACTCAACAGTTTCAGGATCCCGAGTGCGGGTTACCCTCGGGCGGCGCGCGTTCAAGCGACCCCAGGGTTTCTGCTCGTTTGCTGGAACACTTTCTCATGTCACGAACTCTACCCTTCGTCGCCCACGCTTCCCACCGTCCCGCGCTTCTCCTCGTCGCACGCGCGCGGGTCTCCTCGTCGCCCGCAAGCGCTTTTCCACGTCGCGACAAGGCAGCTTCTCCTCGTCGCCCGCGCGCGCATCTCCTCGTCGCCCCCGCTTCTAAATTTCGATATCGCTTCTTCTTGTCGTCCCCGCCCCTTTAGTTCGGCCAAGCTTCTCCCCGTCGCCCCCGCCTCTACATTTCGCACGCGCTTCACCTCGTCGCTCCCGCCTCTTGATTTCGCGCAAGCTTCCCCGTACCCGCCTCCATTCCCCCCATATACGATTCCCTTCGGTAACCTCCGTCCACCCTCTATCTCTTCCTCCCTCCATCCCTCCCTCTCCCCTCTCTTCCTCTCTCCCTCTGTCCCTCCCTACCTTGCTAACTACCTTTATTCCTCTGTCCCTCTCTCCCTCTCCCCTTTCTCGCTCTCTTGCCTCTCTCCCTCTCTTCCCTCTCCCCCTCCCTTTTTAGCTATCTAGCACTCTCCCTAATAACGACTTTCCCTTTTGCCCTCTCCATTCTTCCGTCTCTCCCTCACTTTCTCCCTCTTCCTCCCCGACTCTCTGCACTCCTTCCTTCCCACAGGAACCTCTCTCTCCTTCCTTCCAGAGGACAGAGGTTGAAGGACAAGGGGGAGAGGGGGAAGGACAGAGGGGGAGAGACACAGGGGGGAGGCACAGGGTGGCGGACATAAGGGGTTAGACAGAGGGGGAAGGACACATGGGGAGACAGAACAGTTTGGCCTGACGCAGTGCAAGAGACACAGGGGGAAGGACAGTGGTGCGGCATGAACGAAGGGAAAGGACGGAGGGGGAAAACAGAGGGGGGGGGGAGACAGAGAGGGAGAGACAAAAGTGGAGATCGTAAACACCGAATCGCTCCCTTTCTCCCACCAGCTCGGTTTACCCCCCAATCTATTTTCTCGTGTCTCAGGTGCCACTTCCCTCCCCTCCTCCATGCTTCCCCCCTCCCTCTTCCCTGATTCCCCCCTCCCTCCTCCTTGCTTCCACCCTCCCTCGAACTCTGCTTTCCTCCTCCCTCCTCCCTGCTTCCCCCCTCCCTCCTCCCTGCTTCCCCCCTCCCTCCTCCCTGCTTCCCCCATCCCTCCTCCCTGCTTGCCCCCTCCCTCCTCCCTGCTTCCCCCCTCCCTCCTCCCTGCTTCCCCCCTCCCTCCTCCCTGCTTCCCCCCTCCCTCCTCCCTGCTTGCCCCCTCCCTCCTCCCTGCTTCCTCCTCCCTCCTCCCTGCTTCCCCCCTCCCTCCTCCCTGCTTCCCCCCTCCCTCCTCCCTGCTTGCCCCCTCCCTCCTCTCTGCTTCCCCCCTCCCTCCTCCCTGCTTCCCCCCTCCCTCCTCCCTGCTTGCCCCCTCCCTCCTCCCTGCTTCCCCCATCCCTCCTCCCTGCTTCCCCCCTCCCTCCTCCCTGCTTCCCCCCTCCCTCCTCCCTGCTTGCCCCCTCCCTCCTCCCTGCTTCCCCCCTCCCTCCTCCCTGCTTCCCCCCTCCCTCCTCCCTGCTTGCCCCCTCCCTCCTCCCTGCTTCCCCCATCCCTCCTCCCTGCTTCCCCCTCCCTCCTCCCTGCTTCCCCCCTCCCTCCTCCCTGCTTGCCCCCTCCCTCCTCCCTGCTTCCCCCCTCCCTCCTCCCTGCTTCCCCCCTCCCTCCTCCCTGCTTGCCCCCTCCCTCCTCCCTGCCTCCCCCCTCCCTCCTCCCTGCTTCCCCCATCCCTCCTCCCTGCTTGCCCCCTCCCTCCTCCCTGCTTCCCCCCTCCCTCCTCCCTGCTTCCCCCCTCCCTCCTCCCTGCTTGCCCCCTCCCTCCTCCCTGCTTCCCCCATCCCTCCTCCCTGCTTGCCCCCTCCCTCCTCCCCGCGTGCCCCCACCCTCCGCCCTGCTTGAAAATTAACCCTCCGCCCTGCTCGAAAATTTACCCTCCGCTTCCTAGTGGACCATCTCTTCCCTCCATCCTAACCTATCGGCCTCATGGGTTTAGCATCTTACGCCAGCAGCGCAATCATCGAACGCCTACTTCAAGTGACCAGAGAGTAGCGTGCTGGTATGTTTGCGTCTTGGCAAATCGTCAGGCCCGTCGCCCAGCCGTCCGTGTCGCAGACGCGGCGCCCATGACGCCATCGCCGCGTCACCTGTGCTTTTGGCAGCAAAGCAATCTACGCCGTGGCATGGTGGTGACAAGCAGCATCCCATGCCTCACTCGCATGCTCATCATCTCTGAGGTGACTTTAGAAAGGACTCAGAAGTCCCCCCCACACACCACACGCCTTCCCCCCTCATAGCCACCTCCATATCCCCCCACACACCACACGCCTTCCCCCCTCATAGCCACCTCCATATCCCCCCACACACCACCCGCCTTCCCCCCTCATAGCTACCTCCATATCCCCCCACACACCACCCGCCTTCCCCCCTCATAGCCACCTCAATATCCCCCCACACACCACCCGCCTTCCCCCCTCATAGCCACCTCCATATCCCCCCACACACCACCCGCCTTCCCCCCTCATAGCCACCTCCATATCCCCCCACACACCACCCGCCTACCCCCCTCATAGCCACCTCCATATCCCCCCACACACCACCCGCCTTCCCCCCTCATAGCCACCTCCATATCCCCCCACACACCACCCGCCTTCCCCCCTCATAGCCACCTCCATATCCCCCCACACACCACCCGCCTTCCCCCCTCATAGCCACCTCCATATCCCCCCACACACCACCCGCCTTCCCCCCTCGTAGCCACCTCCATATCCCCCCACACACCACCCGCCTTCCCCCCTCATAGCCACCTCCATATCCCCCCACACACCACCCGCCTTCCCCACACTCCCCCCCTCACCACCTGCTTCTGTGCCCCGCTTCTCCACACGCACCCACTGCCATCCCCCCTTCCCTCCAGGTCCCTCTATCATCCTCTTCCTTCCCCCGAACCCACTCAGGATCTGAGTGGGTTCGGGGGGCAGCAGCACGGTACTGCTGTTGAGAGAGGTGGGGTCTTACACCCTGCCGCTCGTCCCTTCCATCCCCCGACCATGTCCTCCTCCAACAAACAGTTCCCGCCCCACCATCATCTCTCCCCTAGCCCACCCAACCCACTCAGGAAATCTGGTCCCTCGTAAGCAGCGGCCGGTGCTGGTGTTCGGGGAGGTGGGTCAGATGACAACATCTCTTACAGAAGCATGGTATTCCCATGTTTAGGTGCAGAGAAGCATGAGGACCAAAACTTCACGCAGATAGCGACATCATTGATTGCTATTGGGGTTGGCATTAGTATAACTTGTCGCATGCATGGTGGACCTGGTCAGTGCACAAGTCTAACTTGGGTCGCACGTGTAATTGACGTAAATTGTCTATTGCAACTATAATATGTGCAAGCGGTCATTCAAGGTGTTGCTATGCAGATTGATACAAACTTATTTCCATCTTAGCACAAAAAGGTTTAGGAAAGAACGGCTTAGTCCACTAAACCCACTCAAGCCTTACGTAGTTCAATACCACAGTAGCAAAGTGGGGATGTAAACACAACCCATTCACTCATCCTGACCTGCCACCCACACCTCCACCTCCTCCCCGTCATAGCGGCCTTCTACCCACCACTCATCACTATTGTCGTTCCACTCCTCCACATCTCTTGTCAGTGTGTTTGCCACATCCTCCACCTGATCCGATGAGGTTTCAGCCACATCCCTCTCACAGTGGTAACCTGCAATTATCGCCAATGAGAAGGAGGATAAGCCAGATTTTAGGGTGGTGTGCCAGTCGCGATGAAAAATCTCATCCGCGGACAATGGCAGGGCAGGGCAGTGGTAGGGCATGCCTGGGGTGGGGGGGACAAGGGCGGGGCGGGGCATGACAGGGCAAGGCCCAAGGCAGGGCAGGGCATGGCATTGCATGTATGGATGGAGCAGACCAGGGCGGGGCGGGCCTTGACAGGGCAGGGCAGGGCATGGCCCCTCTAGGCATGGCATGCATGCATAGAGGTTGCAGACAAGGGCGGGGCGGGGCAGTACAGGCCCAAGGCGGGGAAGGGCAGGACAAGGCAGAGCAACATGGACAGGGCAACTCATGTCCTGGGAGCAAACCAGGGCGGGGCGGGCCTTGACAAAGCAGGGCAGGGCATGGCCCCTCTAGGCATGGCATGGCATGCATAGAGGTTGCAGACAAGGGCAGAGCAACAAGGACGGCAATGCATGCTTAGAACGAGCAGACAATGGCGGTGCGTGCCTGGACAGGGAGGGGCATGGCATGGCATGCTTAGTGATAGCAAACAAGGATGGGATGGGGGGGCCAGGACACGGCAGGGTCCAAGCATGGCATGGCATTATGGTTGTACAAATTTTAGATGCCGAAAGGCATAGGGCGTGGGGTGATAGTCAAATACCTTTGGGGCTGTGGATTGTTGTAGTAGGCATCGTTGTGTTTATGTGTGATGCCGAGCAAGCCTCGCGCGGGTTTGAAAGCTCGCTAGATGTTCGCCTCAAACGCTTAGCGTGGGAAGTTCGACACATCACCTATAAACAACATAAAGATGGAGCGGAAAGCGCGGATTGGTGAACATCTTACGCTGGATAGAATGTTGGTGACATGAGTAAGAGCCATACTGATACAATAACAATACTCACGTTGCGCCCCCGTTGCTTACCCAAACGACGGCGTGCGGATCCACGAGACGTGCCGCACTCCCGACCGGTCCTCTCGCCTTGGCGCACTGGTGTCTCGGGCTCAAGTACAGATGCGGTGGGCCGTGCGATCGAGGCCTCGACCAGCTGCGCAGGCGTTGCTGTGGTGTCAGGCGTCTCTGCAACGTCTACACCATCTCCAAATCGCAGTGTTCGTTGCCATTCCTCCATGATGCGATCAACCCAACCCCAATCCATTGGGGTCAAAATGCGCTCCTTGGATCCGCGTCTTATCCTCGTCACCTGCCGGACTCTCGTGCGATAGGCGGTCACCAAACGATCCATGCCGTGATTCCAATGAAGAACCGCGAGACCGACTCGTGCCGGGAAACTGCCCTGAAACCTAATCCGCTTTGGTGCGTACTTGATGATCAAAGAATGGAAGGACTCGTTGAGTGAACTGGATGCGCCATGCACAAACGACTTCACCTTCTCAGGGCTTAAGCGCTTGGCAAACCATTCACGAACCGCCTCGTGTGTCGACGACCCAAACTCATATATGGCATGCTCCCTGCCCCACCCCTCTCTGACGCAGCGAGGTGGGGTATCTCCTACCCCCGAGCAGCAGCCGGAGTGGTCACCTGCCCAATGGTTACGTGGGCTCCCAAGCTCCCTCGCCACCTCGGCCGGGGTCATAGGGTGCCCATCTTTCTTCTTCGCACCACACCGCACCATGACGTGATAGAAATGAGAGGAGAAACGTTGTGCCACAGTTTGTTCCTCCTTGCCGGAATCGATCTGATCTTCACCTCGTTTCCGCTTTCGGCGACCAGTCCACCGAGGTAGTGTCTCAGGCTCGCAGTGCACCTCAGAATCAGCTCCGCATACACCAAGCGCAGCTGTGAATGAGAGAAAAGGATAGATCAGAAGGGATCCTGAGTATAGAGTTGCCCTTAGGTCAACCATGCTGTTAAAGTGTACAAGGGGGTATATGCATACCTGACTGCGTGTCGGTGTCGACTAGAAACCTGTCGCAGTCTTCCGCGCGCATCATACTGCACCAGCGGGAAGGAGTATCTAAGCCCGGCAAGGACTCGATTGGGCCGTTGTTGTAGGTCCGCCACATGCTCAACATTTCCTTTAGCGTGTTCCTTAAAGATGCGGCCGTACTCCGTTCGGTGTCTTTCCACAATCGTGCCGGTATGTGTGTCGCTTGAACAAGGATCTGTGAGGCACATGATGCACAGGCACGTGACACATTTCATAGATTTCACACATCTAACAGGAAGACAATCAATAGTGCAAATCATGCACACTTCAACATCGGTCAAATCGTTGTGACTTACCTGCTGCTAGGCCCGCCTCAATGAGTCGGCTGGTCGCTAGAGGTGCTGACTCCGCCAAAAAATGAATCACATCATCCGTCGTCGCCATTGTGTCCCCGAAGTACAATGCCGAGAGCCCCACGCGGAGCACGCACAGAAGTGGCCGCATGTGGACCGAAATATTGACTGTTCCCCTCTGGGCATCCTTACATGCCTGTATTGCAGGATGCACTCCCGTCCCTACAACCACCGGTGCCATCTGGAAGCATGTCAGCACATACCCCAAGGACAGAGGGAGAGGTGGGTGGTCAGGGGTAGGGGGCAGGGGCAAGGTTTAAAGCATCTTAGGATAAAGAAGAAATGTGCATTTGCACTCCAAGCAGCACACAACGGTGAGCAACAAGCAATGGTGAAAGCAGGCCCAAGGCAGCAGCAACATTGGTTGCTGCTGCCTTGGGACAGCACAGGTGCGTCCATGGTGGTGACAGCAGGCCCAAGGCAGCAGCAACATTGGTTGCTGCTGCCTTGGGACAGCACAGGTGCGTGCATTGTGGTGACAGCAAGCCCAAGGCAGCAGCAACATTGGTTGCTGCTGCCTTGGGACAGCACAGGTGCGTGCATTGTGGTGACAGCAGGCCCAAGGCAGCAGTAAAATTGGTTGCTGCTGCCTTGGGACAGCACAGGTGCGTGCATTGTGGTGACTGCAGGCCCAAGGCAGCAGCAACATTGGTTGCTGCTGCCTTGGGACAGCACAGGTGCGTGCATTGTGGTGACAGCAGGCCCAAGGCAGCAGCAACATTGGTTGCTGCTGCCTTGGGACAGCACAGGTGCGTGCATTGTGGTGACAGCAGGCCCAAGGCAGCAGCAACATTGGTTGCTGCTGCCTTGGGACAGCACAGGTGCGTGCATTGTGGTGACAGCAGGCCCAAGGCAGCAGCAACATTGGTTGCTGCTGCCTTGGGACAGCACAGGTGCGTCCATGGTGGTGACAGCAGGCCCAAGGCAGCAGCAACATTGGTTGCTGCTGCCTTGGGACAGCACAGGTGCGTGCATTGTGGTGACAGCAGGCCCAAGGCAGCAGCAACATTGGTTGCTGCTGCCTTGGGACAGCACAGGTGCGTGCATTGTGGTGACAGCAGGCCCAAGGCAGCAGCAACATTGGTTGCTGCTGCCTTGGGACAGCACAGGTGCGTGCATTGTGGTGACAGCAGGCCCACGGCAGCAGCAACATTGGTTGCTGCTGCCTTGGGACAGCACAGGTGCGTGCATTGTGGTGACAGCAGGCCCACGGCAGCAGCAACATTGGTTGCTGCTGCCTTGGGACAGCACAGGTGCTTGCATTGTGGTGACAGCAGGCCCAAGGCAGCAGCCGTATTGGTTGCTGCTGCCTTGGGACAGCACAGGTGCGTGCATTGTGGTGACAGCAGGCCCACGGCAGCAGCAACATTGGTTGCTGCTGCCTTGGGACAGCACAGGTGCGTGCATTGTGGTGACAGCAGGCCCACGGCAGCAGCAACATTGGTTGCTGCTGCCTTGGGACAGCACAGGTGCTTGCATTGTGGTGACAGCAGGCCCAAGGCAGCAGCCGTATTGGTTGCTGCTGCCTTGGGACAGCACAGGTGCGTGCATTGTGGTGACAGCAGGCCCACGGCAGCAGCAACATTGGTTGCTGCTGCCTTGGGACAGCACAGGTGCGTGCATTGTGGTGACAGCAGGCCCACGGCAGCAGCAACATTGGTTGCTGCTGCCTTGGGACAGCACAGGTGCTTGCATTGTGGTGACAGCAGGCCCAAGGCAGCAGCCGTATTGGTTGCTGCTGCCTTGGGACAGCACAGGTGCGTGCATTGTGGTGACAGCAGGCCCACGGCAGCAGCAACATTGGTTGCTGCTGCCTTGGGACAGCACAGGTGCGTGCATTGTGGTGACAGCAGGCCCACGGCAGCAGCAACATTGGTTGCTGCTGCCTTGGGACAGCACATGTGCTTGCATAGTGGCGACAGCAGGCCCAAGGCAGCAGCATTGCGCTCGAACAGTAGCGTGTCGGACCCCCAAGGCAGCTGCAACTCGTACTCTGTACAATAGTCCACTATAAGGGAATTGGGGTCTCACCTGTGGTAACCTCTTGATCGATCCTTTAGGGGCGTGTGCTGCCCTGCGTTCCCCTTCAGTGAGCAG